AGCAACCAAACACCCCTCTTATCCTAGATTCGCCCCTGTAAACAGCATAAATCACAGGCGCAAGCAACATTGAATTCAAGTAACCGAACTCTTAGGAGCTCTAACCTGGAGAAGAACGCTTGAAGGATACTAGCTGCAGGGGACAGCACTTGAAGGAGCACTAACCGAAGGAGGCTGAGGTTCTGAGATGGATGCCTCCATTATTGCTGTAATGTAGGAGTATAAAGAAAGTAGACAGAAGCAGGCACCAAACAAAGGCAGTTGACTCGACCGAAGCAGGTTCGCTTGCTCGTATACGATCGTGGATTATAAGTTAGAATAGTATTTTTCTCTCACACCAAACCAGCCAACAGTAAATAATCCACGATCGTTTACGACAAAACGAACAGGCTGCAGATGCCCAACGTGTCAGTCAATGGCAATATGAGAGGATATCGTCACGCGCTTTTGTGATGCGGGGTTGGTGGTACGTACCATGAACCTTCCACTGCTATGTGCACAACATATCTGAAATCCCCCAGGGAAGATATCCATAAACTGACCTGTACTGAGACTAATGCATGATGGATATCCGATATTATCCGTATTTGTGACGAATATAGTACAAGGTGAAGTTGTACATCACTTATATGTCCCTGTCCCTGTGACTAATAACTAATAAAAATATTAGTTAGTTTTAATATTACTGAGATATACCGAGAATTGTGCTTTGGATTAGATTACAATCTCAGTACACCGTAAGACCTAGAAAGCAATCATTGGGTTTCGCTTGACTTGGCGTTGGCTGACACGGCCTCGTTTTGCAGCCATTGAGTTCTCTCTCTGGCGCTACCTGCACTGTTCTTTTAACTAGTTCTTGCATACATACAAATCTTGGAAAACTGCTGTGAACAATATCATTGTATGCTTGTATAAGTATGTTGCATAACTGATACCACCAGAAAGTCGCAAAAAAGAAAAAGAACTGATACCACCAGAAGCTTTTTTCTGATGCCATTGCTGGAGGGCAAAGCTAATAGGTCGTCATATCTCTATCTTCTCTATTATAAGAGACCAATTTAAACTATTTTAGGTATATTAAATAATGCGTCCACCATTGAGAAGACTAACCATTATACATCAACAAAATTACACCCAAGATTTCGACATAATTCTTTCTCACGTGCTTTAACTCGATTTGATGGCCAATATTCGGCCTGTTCGTTGGTTGATTTTTGGACTGATTTGAATTAGCTGGTACTGGTTTATTGTAACAAAAAAAAATACTATTAGCTGATTGGTTTGGGCTGGCTGAAACCAACCAGTATCCCCACCCATGCTTCAACGCACACCACCTCCGCACGCCCTCCGCTTCCGCAAGCCCTCTGGGACCGGGGATCGAATCCCACACCCCCAGTGGCCAGCGCCCTTTTTTCTACGAAAAAACTAAACATCAACGCTGCTGGGAGAGAGCGTGCGTGCGCCCGGGATGCGCCCTCACCGTGGCCCGCGAGGCCGCGACGGACCCACGCCAAAGCGTCCGCGCGTCTCCCTCCTTCTCTTGCGCACGCTTGTCGAACCTTGCCTCGTCGGAAGCCCGTGTACTGCCATCGCATGCCGCCGTCCGCCGACACGGACAAGCCGGTGAGCCTCCCTCTCCCTTCCTCCTTGGCCCCGCCCTAGCACACCATCTTGTTCCACACGAGCTTGCGCACACCCGGCACCTCTTCCAGTTCTCCTCTGTCACGGGAGCGTGGAGAACGACGGGCCGCCACCGTTGCCGTCTGCCGCCGCCGGCCACTCCAGGGCGCGCCGCGACCATCCCATCGCACGCGCGGGCACCTCTTCCAGTTCGGCCGCTGGTGTGAGCCTGCTCTGCTCCGTCCGTGGTAATAGAAGAAAGAGGACTGGGGAAAGAAAAAGGAGTGAAGAGAAGGGTCCAGTTGTGAATATGCTAGAGACAAAGTCTTGGTGAAAGGGCCTAAATAGATTTAGAGAGAGCTTGGGGTTCCTGATTCAAAACTTACTTTTGTTCCTCGTATCCGGCCTGGGCCGAGACCCCGTGATGAGCTGATTTGAGCCCAGGTCGAGTTTTCCCTTTTAAGCGACTTTATTATCATTTCCTTTCAAATCAGTGATCTTCTAAAATCAGTAATACAAAACCAGTTTTGTTAGGCCGTGTTTAGTTCGCGAAATGAAAATTTTTGGATATCACATCGGATGTTTCGAGGATGTCGGAAGGGGTTTTCGGATACTAATAAAAAAAATAATTACATAGCTCGCCTGGAAACTGCGAGACGAATTTATTAAGCCTAATTAATCCATCATCAACGCATGTTAGTACTGTAGCACTTATGGCTAATCATGGACTAATTAGTCTTAAAACATTCGTCTCGCGATTTCCAACCAAACTGTGCAATTAGTTTTTTTTCGTCTATATTTAATACTCCATGCATGTGCCGCAAGATTCGATGTGATAGTTTGGGGTGAGAATTTTTGGGAACTAAACCAGGCCTTAGTCGCATAGCTGCTCCTGGCCTTCGGTTTCAACACGGAGCAGCACCAGGAGAGCGAGAGGGAGTGTGTGCCCCGAGGAAGAGTTAGGGTTTTGTTTTAGGAAATTAGTGAATCATATAAGGGGTTGCTTGTTGAATTTAAGCGGACCCTGAATTCAACCAAAGTTTTAATTTTTTGGAAACTTTTTTAGTTTCAAGGCACCTTTATCACCGTGTTGACTTAGTCAACATACTAACAAAGAGGTTGTTGTTGCAAAAAAAATGAAGTTATGATTTTCAAACGAGCGAGATGGGGGCGCGGTGCACGGTCAATTTTTTTAAAAAATATGATAATAATAATTTAGTGATTTTTGGCATTTTATATGAATTCTGTAAACGAGATTGAATTCTAACTTTTGCGACAAAAAAATATCTTCTATGCTTTTTGAACGTGCATCGCTTCAATTTTTTGGACCTACATAAATGTGTTTTTGGTTGAATCTTAATGAAGTACTTCAAATTTTATAGAACTAACTACTTTGGACTTAATATGGCCCGTAACGTTAGCACGGGCAAATATACTAGTATGACCAGTGGATTAGTTGTGGATAGTCACACTTTCTTTGCTTTGCTAGTTCTTGTTTTTTTGTGTGTTTTTCATATGTATTGTTTTAATAAAGATATGATAATTAGGTTTTGTGTTTTGCTTATCATTTTACGTTTTTTTGTCTTTATGTTTCTTAAAAAATATAAAAATATGTCAATAAAAAGCTAAAGTAAAAAAATGAAGGCATTGCTTTGCGGTTCTGCACTGTGCGGTGCAACACACGCCGCCGCCTCCTACTCTGCTTTCCTTTCCAGTTTTTAGCCCGTTCAGTTATGCTTTTGCTTTTGCTTTGGTTTTTAGTTTTTGTTTTTGGCTATTTGAAATTTGAAAATATAAAAAATCTGAATAAACATAATAAGAAAAATCCTTTGGATAATATTTCCATTGTACAATCTTTTAGTTGCTTTTAGTTATTTTGATTGAAAAAATAAAAAAATAAGAGGGGCAGCGTGGATTCATGTGCTGCACTGTGCCGCACGGCACGCTTCTCGCGCCGGGCAACACCAGTTCATGCCGCACAAGCGCACCCATTTATCTCCAATTATTTTTATGCACATGTTTGTCTCTCTCTCTTTTTTTTAGCGAAGGCATATGCTTGTCTTTTCGTACTGTACTGAAGCAGGAGGTGACTATTTTTTTAGTGACGGCATGTGCTCGTTACACACCTCCATCCATCAAAAAGACCGTTGACCTTTGTTTCATGAAAAAGTTTGGACTTGTCCACACTCGTTCCTAAAACAGGTCTTTTGGGACGGAGGGAGTACCTTGCAATAGTTGAATTGTCATTGCCATGAGCAAGTTACGCTATTGTGTAAATAATTTTTTGAGACTAATGTTTTGGCACAGCTAGTTTGTTCACACTAAAGGAGTTATAAGCATCTATTTCGGTTGATTCGGTCCACAAGGCAAAGTGAAGCACGATGAAAAATATGCATCGTTTCTACCAAGCCACACGCTGGTGCAGCAACTGCGATGCTTGTGAAGCCTAAGGCCACTCTAAGTGGGAGTTTCATGTTCTAGTTTCCAACACTTCCATATGTTGATGCCGCGATGGCTACACATTTAAGATTGTCACCATCTACTAAGCGTTATTTTCTAATAACTGTTATTGCCACGTTTTTGCTGGTCCTCCGAAAAACATAATCGAAATGTTTTGAACATTCAGAATCACCATCAAGTCTTATTTCCAACGAAAGGAAAGACAACTTAATTTGCAGGTTCCTATGAGCGGTTATGGCCAAACCCTTGAGCACTGTTGGTGCTGAAACAGGTTCTTGACATTAAGCAGCGCCAGAGTAAAACGGCAAACGGGGAAGACTCCCTCATCCGGTATCCAATTTGGGTGAATGACCCAACTCGTTGGAAAGGTAATTTAATAATATCTTCATCAGAGCTATGATTTTGCATATGTTCTGTTCTTGACAAGGGGGAATCCACAAGAAAGATGATGGCAATGGAGGAAGGCTTGGGCAGCGCTTCATCAAGATTACATTATCAAATTCAGATGTTTAACACAACAAAATCATTAGAACATTAGCACAAGAAAACACAAGTGGACTAAAGGACGGATTGTGTTTTCCTTTATCTAAAAAGTTATCTAAATTTTGTAATTTTGCAAACGTTTTTGTGAGTCCACCACGGTACCAGATGAAAAGGTTATGATACACTGTCCAGACCTTTTTTTTCGTGAAGCATAGCAACGCAAATTTATTTTAAGATGGGATCTTTAAAGACAACAGTACTTCAACATTGTCTCAACTCGAACAGAAGGAAAGATAACCGGAGAGGCAGTTACTTTGTTCCCAAAAAGATAGATTCGGAAAGGATCTTAGTTTCAAGGAAAATTGATGTCATATATGGATGCCGGAGCAGGTTTTACTTCTTCTTGGGCACCTATTTCTCCATGGAAAGACCATGTTTCACGCATGCTGGAAAGGGGAGTCCTGAAAGGTCATATAGGATGTGTTAGCACCCACAAAGATAGCATAAACTATATAGTTCTGGCGATATTAGGCTATTTTAGTAAAAACCGTCCTTAATTGATGGCAGCAAGTTACAAAATAAATTCTGATAGTTCAATTGCGATGGGTCCTTCATTTTTTTTAAATCAATGAGATCTTCGGTTTTGAAAGAATGGTCTATTCGCTTCTCTTATGAGCCGTACTGTTTGAGTGAAGGAACAATATTTTTTTCTCACAACAAATCAGCGAACAGTACTTTCAGCCATGGCTTTTCAGCGAAGCGAACAGAGCCAATATAGTTTGGACCGTAAAGAAGGAATGTCATTGCGCTTGGAAAAAAGAGCTGAAAGCATTTAGGCATTGAATTTAACGTGTGTCTCTGCTTGTTTACAAATGCTCAGTGCGACCAAAGAAATTCAGTTTGTTTTAGTTGACAACCTCTGCAACTATAAAAACAAAGAAATTCTTCTTGAATATCGAAAACGGAACATAACGAAATTAGATGATATGAACAAAGATCATCGGCATGACGATGCCTAAGTGTTCATACCTGGTAAAAAATTGGTACACGTTTCCCATTGAGCCTATCAACAATATCCACTATGGAAGGCCTCTTTCTCCGATCAACCTCCACACACTTTAGCCCAATTTCAATGCAAGCTTTTACTTGCTGGAGGCCATTTGAATCTAGTGATGGGTACTTGTATATTATTTGCTCATCTGTCCTCCAGTTTTGATGTACCTACATAATTGGATTTAATCCTTAGCGATAGTATATTAACTGAATGAATGGAAAGATCCTAAACAAGATGTTTCAGCCAAGTAAAGCTGTGTTACATCGTCCACAAATTTCCTTGCAGCTTTGTCTTGAGGGTCAGAGACTGCACAGTTCTTCTCTCGAATCGTGATCTCGGTAATAATCATGCCCAAACTATATATGTCTGACATGGTGGAGATTTCGCCTCTATATAGATATTCCGGAGCCATGTACCCACTGCAAGAGTTTATCGAAGAATCAAATATTCATGTGTCAATTACTTTATTTAATTTGAAGGAAAATCATATATCACAGTTTGTTTCGACTTACTTTTGTCCCTTAACATTGACTGTATACATCCGGGTCTGCTCTTGTCCAAAGAGTCTCGAGAGACCAAAATCGGCAAGCTTTGGCACCCAGTTATCATCCAACCATATAGAGTTAGGCACAAGATTCATGTGAACTAGGGAGCCATCCAATTCTTTATGACTATGAAGGAAATCTAGACCCTGGCAGATCCCCTTAATTATTTCGAACCGTGTGTCCCAGTCAATTGAACTATTCTCACCTGAAGAAGTACAAAGTAAAGAAAGTACTAATGAATTGTAAGTACCTAAGATAGTATTCTGAAATGTGTGTATTTCTTACAGTAGTAGCAATAAATGAATATTGAAAATAATAGCTCTTTTGACAATTGTATATATCTCTCAAGAAGCAATAGTAGAGAAAGAAAGCCAAGCATGTTGGATAGTTCATTACGTACCATAAATGTGACTGTCGAGACTTCCGTTGGGTAGATATTCGTAGCATAGACAGCTTTCGGTTATTTCTACAATTACATATCTTCCATTATGCTGAATCACTTTCTTCTGCGCTTCATGGCAGTATCCAACCAGCTGTACTATATTTTCGTGCTTAATCGCCATAAGATTTGTAACCTCAGTATCAAATGCTTTGCCAGGTGCCGCTAGCGTGTTTTCAACGAGCTTTTTCACAGCAATCATGCGCCCATCCGCCAGAGCTCCCTGTTTTGTCACCATGGATCACTAGTACAAGGATTTGTGATGCAGAATTTCATGTTTTAATTCTAGGGTCCAATTGTATACCTCATAAACTGTTCCAAAAACAGAATGACCAATTTCTCGCTCAGCAGAGAAATCATTGGTAATTTCCTTCATAAAGGTCGCCGGTAGGTTTGTTGGTAATGTACTCGCAAGACTCTGCTGGCTCGCCATTTCTGATAATTGAGGTGGCTATATGGATAGGACCTGCTACTAATCAAGTCTTATAAATAAAACACCCAAAGAAGAAAGAAAATCTCCTCAACCACACCTATGTATACATGTATTCTTCTGAAATCATTTGAAAGCAACCATGATTCTTTTCTTTTAGACTCACAAGGTGAAAAGAGGGACTGAACTGGATGCACATAAACAGATTAAATCACAGGCGCAACACCGAATTCGCACAAGCATGATTTTAGTAAGCAAAACTGTTTTACAAACAACCAGATTCTTAGGAGCACTAACCTGGAGAAAAACACTTGAAGGATACTTGCTTGCTGCAGGGAACAACACTTGAAGGAGCACTAACCGAAGGTCGTTGAAGTTCTGAGATGGATGCCTCGATTATTGCTGCAACTTATAGGAGTATAAATACAAAAGAAAGCAGAGAGAAGCTTGGGACCAACCGTGTAACAAAGACAAGTTGACTTGACCAAAGCCTAAGATGCCCAATGAGTCAGTCAATGACAATATGAGAGTATTATCGTCACGCGCTTTTGTGACGCAGGGTTGGTAGTACCTACCATGAACCTTCCATTGCTATGTACACATACTCAACGCCCCAGTGAACATATCCATAAACTGACGTCTACTGGGACAGACATTTTTCACTTGCTCACTGGGTCACACGACCTTCCTCGTAATCAAAATGAACTGACATAACTTTTTTGTGAGGCCAGTTTCGGCTTGTATACAACCTATAGTTGCCTGAAAACTTTGTTTCAGTGGACGTCCATTTGGTAAAGGAGGTTGTTTCCCGGGAGGGTGGCACCCGTTGTGGGGGAGCAGAACGTATAGATTTCTAGAGAACAATAAATTCTTGAACTTTCTATTAACAAAACACCTTTTCAATTATTATTAATAATGAATTCATTAGGCTAATGCATAGTTGAAGGACCGGAAATAGCGAGCAGAGAAGGGGTGAATGAGAGTCAATAAAAATTCTTCTTAAAGAAAGAACTCGGCCTATGTCCCAAATCGACACACCCACTCCTCTCCTCTAGCTTTCAATAAGGTCTAGTAGAAGTACCACTCCTACCAACCCTAGGGATGGAGCTAGAAAGATGCAGAAACAACACAAAAAGATTAAGAGAAAAACTCAAGAACACAGTGCAAATCGGACCGGTCCGGTATGCATATAGAACCTGTCTGGTACGACTATACAACATGCGTAACTTTTGGAGAAAAAAGGTAAACACAATCAAACAGTCTCCAAAAATTATGAAATTTAAACCAGAGGTTAATACCAGCATAAGGAAGCACTCCCCAGAAAATCTCCAAAAAAAATCACAAGTCGAAAATACCGGACCACCAAACCGGACCGGTTCGGTATCAACAGGCTGAAGTGAACTTTCTCCAAAAATTCAAAACTGACTCAAATCAACTCAAAAAAAGTGAAACTTGGTGGAGAGCTTGACTAATACACGGTGAAGGTAATACCACAAGATCTGTCTAGAAATACATTGTGAACTTTTTAGTTGCTAGGGACGTAAACTCTTATGTAAATCTGGGTTCACAAATCCAACTTTTTAGTTGTTAGGTTCTGAAATTAAAACTAAAATCGTTTCCTGCAGATTTTTGTAAGTTGTTTGGTCCTTCTTTGGCCATTTTCACGGTTATTTTCTTGCTACTATAAATTTCTGAAGCAATTGCTTGGTTGTTTAGAAAGGGATAAACGGCATTGCTTTTCACATAAGGCCCACGAGTGTTTAGGGTGGGGGTGAGATCTGTTTTTTCTTGGAGCTAATTGTACAAAAAAAAAAATCTGACCACTCAGCTGCATCGAGTTAATTGTCTGCATATTGAGCACCCGTCAAAGAGAACGAGAATACTCCCTCTATTTCACATTATAAATCGCTTTGACTTTTTTGGTTCATCCATTTTGTTACATATTTAGACATATTATTATATCTAGATGCATAGCAAAATAGATGTATCAAAAAAGTCAAAGCGATTTATAATTTGGAATAAAGGGAGTAGCTTCGATTTCAAGGTATCTCGTGTCATGCCTTGAATGTGAAGACATGAACACAATTGCTCGAAATCACGTGAGTGAGTTTAGGGGTTTTCATCTTCTTCCCCAGCAAAAGATTGTTCCTGAACCTTGGCTATGAAACTAGGGCGAAGCTCATAGCTAGGTGAAAGGATGGGTTGTGATGATGCTGGTGGCTCCAAACAAGCGCCCTTCGGAGCAGCGGGATGAGAGATGGATGATTGGTTCATGGTGTGGAAAGGATAAAAGGAAAGAAAGATAAAAAGAAGGATAACTCGGACGACTCGATTCTAAGTTAAGACAGCTACCGTTCCTCGACAACGGCACCAGAAAGCTTGTTGACACCAGAAGTGGCAAACGGATAAAACGCAAGCGTACGGTTGTCAATGTAGCCTTCAACGGGAGTATTCCAGGTATCGATTTCCACGGGGAACGTGAAGTGAACTAACGAAGGATCAAGACCGTCCTATGATAATACAAGGAGTCTATGGCAATTGGGTAGAGAGGATTTGTATAGCGAAAATATCTAAGGAGGTAAGGTAGATATATTGGCACAGTCCTTGCTCACAGATGCGGTAGGTGAGACAGTAAGAGACAAAACTCTTACCCGAAACAGCTACCTTGTTACCGGTGCCTTACCATTTTAATAACTTTCCTAACAACACGTGGTGGAATACAAAGGCTAGACAAGGCTGTCACCACTTGCTAGCTACTGTGAACAATCAGTGCGACAAGCGGTATACACAGGTGTCGCAGGGTTGGAACCACATCAAGCATTGTTGTTCGAGTCAGTGTTAGAGTATATATCTCTGGTGGCTCGGGTGGACTCAAGAACACAAGAATCACAGAGGGGACGCAACGGTTTATCCTGATGATCCTTATACTCAAGAGCACCCAAAATCGAGGGGTACAACATAGTGTAGAGAGAGATTTGGTAGGGGGTTACCTCGGTGCTAATCCTATGGTTGCCTCGCCGCCGGTGGAACCTTCCCCTCGTTGGAGAGGAGGAAGACGATGGGTGCGGTGGAGGAGCTCTTGGTGTCCCTCTCTGGGTTGCTCAGCTCTCAGTGCTGAGCAGGAGCGGATGGAATGATGAATGGAATGATCTATCTGGGATCGTCCTTCCCCCTCTAAGGTCCGACCTTATCCCTTATATACCAAGATAGGTCAGGTACATGGCGATTTGGGGGAATGTGTATATGGTCTACATGCGCCGGAGTCCATGAGGGTCTTACAACGGCGCTCTGTGGACCATGACGGTGTCATGGAGCTGAAGAAGCCTTGTGCGCTGTCCAGCTGCTCTGTTCTGACACACTGTGTGTCAGGCTGTGTCGGTTTGGACTGGCCTCCCCTAGGTGGACCTTCTGGAGTCATCTTGGTGGCGATGGAGGTCAGCTCCAGGGGCTGACGTGCGGGCCCAGGAGCCCCCTAGCCCCTAGAGGCCAAGGGAAACTTGTCTTCTTGTGTCACACCCCGTGCGTGACCCTATCACGGGAGTGGCCGGCAAGGCCACGCCCAAAGCGCGGCGTCTGGGAGCCCCTAAGCCCTGATGGCTCAGGGCTTGTCTTCTTGCGCCCGGGCCTTAGCTGGCGTCATAAGCCAGGAAGGAGCCAAGGGCCGAGCTCGGGCGTGTCATCGATCGGGAGACTGAGGCTCGGGCGAGCCCCCGAGCTCTAAGCCAGGACTGCTGAAAGCTCTAGTTTGGTTTTGGTGAGTTGATGAAACCCTAAGTGCTAACGTAGTTTATCAAAATGATTATGAGATAGGTAGCACTACTCCAAGTAATTAAGCATATGAAGATCATGGCATGGTGATGATCAAATGCGTGGACTTGGAAAAGGAGAAAGAAAAACAAAAGGCTCAAGGCAAAGGTGAAATTGATATGAGCTTTTTGGTTTAGTGATCGAGACACTTGGAGACTGTGATCACATTTAGGATCGATAGCCGTACTATTAAGAGGGGTGAAACTCGTATCAAAATGCGGTTATCAAAGTGCCACTAGATGCTCTAACTCATTGCATATGCATTTAGGATCTAGTGTAGTGCTAACACCCTTGAAAATGTTTGTGAAAATATGCTAACACACATGCACAAAGGTGATACACATTGTCTTTAGCACTTAGGAGCAAGGGCTCAACACTCCACCAGTGGAGTGTCCGACGGTGCCACCGGCGCCCTGTACAGAAAAGACAGGGTTTCATAGAGTGCACTGGACGCTGGTCACGCAGTGACCGGACGCTGGGGTCCTGCGTCCGGTCAGTGGCAGCAGAGAGCACATAGGCGTCGGTCTTCGACCGGATGCTGGCAGGGCACGTCCGGTCAGGCTGACGTACGGTGACGTAGGCGATGTAGAGAAGTTAGAGAGGGACCGGACGCTGGTCTACGTTCGGTCATGGTGGACCAGACGCGTTCGGTCACGGTTGAGCAGCTCTAGGAGCTTACTAGAAGTGACCGGACGCTGGGGTCTTACGTTCGGTCAAACGTGACCGGACATGTCCGGTTGCGACTGGAATCTTACTAGAAACGACTAGACGCTGGGGTCCTACGTCCGGTCACTTTGAGCAGCGCGTCCGGTCACTACTTAAATATACTGATGACCGATGAGAACGGGCGATCAGCGTTTGAAGCAGGGGCCACGTGGCGAGCATCATGCGACCGAACGCTGGGGTCTTGCGTATGGTCGCCCCAATTTTTAGTGGACTGAGGATCCAATGGCTCTATTTCATGGGGGCTTCTATTTAAGCCCTATGGCCGGCTCAACCTCACTCTCTTGGCCATTTCCATTGACATAGCAACCTTGTGAGCTTAGCCAAAGCCCTCCCACTCATCTCCATCATTGATTCATCATCTTTGTGAGATTGGGAGAGAATCCAAGTGCATTGCTTGAGTGTTTGCATCTAGAAGCACTTGGTGTTCGTGTTTCACTGGGGGATTTGCTTGTTGCTCTTGGTGGTTGCCG